AGTATAGAAATAACGATGCATTTTTCCCTCTTTAAACTTGGTTTAGCTGGCATTCTTAAAGATATAAATATTTTTATTAAATTACTTTTATTGCAATCTCTGGATAAGTTATATTAATATATAAATGTTTAAATATGCCATATATAATAAAAAGTTTTCTCTTTGTATATATATATATAAAGAGATTTCTCTCAGCACAAAACTCTCTTGCTTAATCTTACCTTGTGATGTCACACTTGGCTACTTTAAGGGAAAAAGTTACAAAGAGCGTCCCTTATAAAATAGAGTAAGGTCAATATTTTAGACCAATCGCACTGCAGTATGTAATGACGTATGTAAGGTTGCCGACGTTAAGGGGAGTACAATTTATCCCGCGTCAGAATGAGCATAAGAGAAACCGCGTATGTGGGCGGTGGCGAAGGAGGCAAATGAAGAACAAGTGTTTTACAAGAGATAACCCGTTTATTTGATCGAATTCATGCTAACATCGATATTGGACAATTCCAAAATCTCATTGTTCCTATGAAACAGTGAGAGTTCGGGTGATCGGTCGTAGCCCGGGCGGACGAGAAGGATCGCTGGACGATGCAGATGTTAGGTGTTAAGCTGCGGCAAACTAGGTGATCGGCGGTAGCACAACACAATAGATAAAGCACAACTGTAGGCTTAATCCAGAGGAGACTCTCCTTCGACCTTAAAGTTCCGATTTTTATAGTTTTTCCCCCACTATTCGCATTTCGGATTGGTCCCTCGTCCCATTCCTCGCTTTCCGATTGGTCTCTCCTTTGTCTCCAGGTGCAAGACGAAACCTTTTCGGATCGCGGGAAAGGTCCGATTCAAGGTGTCCATCTGATACCTCTTTGTCGACTCTGCTCGGTGACTGTTTATAAAACAATAACACCTGCACTCACAATTCAGGCCGTTATTTACCTTTTTTTGACGTCTAAGAATTTAACGATCATTTTCATCTTTCATCTATCAAAAATTTCCCTATTTTTGTTCGAAAAGGTTTATCTCGGCCAACATTTTATAGACTCGCGAGTCAATGATCTACCTATTTATGAGCGCTCGTGTTAGAGTTTGTCTTCCGCTAAGACCTTGACAGATAATTTGACACATACTCGAACAGTTCCGAGTCTCGTTGTTTACATCTTGTGTCGAGCAAGAATGTCACGGTTTACTCGAGTTTGAACCTCGTCTTGAAACCCACACGTACACAAAACCACACCTTCCTCTCACTACACTTCAAGTGCCATTTTCTCTTTGTATCAGTGGCATGCCGTCCTTGAAGCCGCTTCCCTTGTATTTTCTAAAATATAAATACATATTGTGTAAATATTTTCATATTTTAGCGTATTTTGAATTAAATAAAATTAATATTTTATCATAACCGCATTATGTATCTAATTACAAACTTCTATACTACATGTGAAAAACAAAAGCTAAGATTGCTATTCTCGGTTTTCATGAACTATAGAGGGCGCTGCATTTTTTACAAAATGGTTGCTTTATCTGGGTCGCTTGTAACTAGTAATGTAAAATTAATCGTATATCACTGTCCGATGTAATGATATATACTGCTTGTAGCTGTTTATCGAGAAATTTTATAGAATATGAACAACTATTGCTAGCGGGACACACATTTATGTGGTATCGAAACAAATGAGCGCGATCGTTCTATACATATTTGTGCCCTTTGTGTTAAAAAACATCAGCTTTGACATTGTCCCATCAGGGTCGGATTTACAAGTAAAACACTATGTAAGTTGTTGCTTAGGGCCTCAAACATTTGTACAAAAAAGAAAATAGAAGTCAAATTATGTAATAAACATTTTTTTTACAAGTCAACAAAATATACTTTACTTTTTATTCTGCCAACTGCCAATTTTTAACAGTCTAATTCACTTTCAGAATTCGGAGAAGCTCATAAATATAACTGACCGATTTTCGAATAATCATCTGTTTTTCGTGTGGGAATAGACAAAAACTTATATCAGGCTCCAGTAAAGCTTTGAAATTGCAATTTGGAACGCAACAGAAAGCTTTGCTTTTTCTATCGCTATTCGCTAACTCATCTTTACTGCTGATAATACACAAGAATGAATCAAACGACACAGATAGAATAGTTTTGTATTAAAACACCAGAGGGCGAGCATCCGGTGAAAATTCGAATTGGAATGGAAGGCTGTATTGTGGAATACGGAACAGTTTCCACGGCGAAAATATCTGGGCTCTTAGTCTCGAATTTTTCGTGTTGTACTCGATCTAACGTCATTGAACTCACATAATTGGTAGTCTCAAGTTAGACCCACTGAGCGAGCTTGAAAGGCGAGCGGAAATAATTCATACTCACTTGGTTACGTATATCGTTAAGCACGATGGGATAGTAGAGTATCGATTATCCGAAATAATTGGGGACTGGGGTTGTACGGATAACTGATCATTTACAAAAAATATATATATATTAAACACAAAACTGTACTGTATATAATTTGTATCACACGTCTTACAAATACATACCTTACATAATGTAATACATTAAAGTAAGCCTACAGTTCAGTTTGACAAGGAGAGGAAGAATGCTGCAACGCCACAATCCTAGCGAAAATTTTAATTTGCCGACTGGAGTGCTTTCGGTTAACCCACGGGTCCAACCGAATGCACTCCCAACCTATGGGTCGCGACCCAGAAGGGGGTCGCGACGGGTTTTCTGTGGGGTCGCCAACTTATGCAGTAAACTAAAACAAAATTTTCACTATAATGCAATATTTATTTTTAATGGTGTCTTAAAGTTCGAATAATTTCATATATTTTTAAAAAATTAAAATAAGTGTAATCTGGGTACGCTGTTCTGTCAGTTGGTTGAATCACGTGTTGAGAGTTTTGAGAGGAATAAATTAAATGTTGAGAATGACATGAGGTTGGCGTTAACAAAATCTCACTCGCGAATTTTGAGGCTGGTTAATAATACATGCAATTTCAACTATCTCATTAAATTAATTATTAAACATAATTTAAAATAAAATTATACTAAAAAACTAATTTCATTGTTTTTTAATTACCTTATTAAAAATACCTTTTTCAATTGTATCGGGGTCGCGGGTCACTTGGCTTTTATAAAAAGGGGGTCGCNTAAACATAATTTAAAATAAAATTATACTAAAAAACTAATTTCATTGTTTTTTAATTACCTTATTAAAAATACCTTTTTCAATTGTATCGGGGTCGTGGGTCACTTGGCTTTTATAAAAAGGGGGTAGCCACACGAAAAAGGTTGGGAACCGTTGGGTTAACCGGTATTCGGATAATCGATGTTCTACTGTATTTACAATGCATCTGGGTTTGCTACTACTGTATAATGATTCGACCAATCAACTTAACTGTAACAAGTTGTAAACAAATCAACGTGAATTAGTTTACACGTGTTACACTTAAAAGTTTTGTCTTATAACAATATAGTACGCAGAAACAAAATGGAAACCTCCAATGTTTTATTTTAAAAAATAAGCGAAAAGAACAAAAAGAAATATCAGTAACATATATAAAAATAATAAGAAACGAACAGTGGAAAATTCGACAACAAATTTACAAGAAAAAGACAATTCCCTTTGTGGAGAGAATTAATTGAAAAATTAATTGCGTGGGTTGGAGCTAAAAAATCCAGTGTGTAATGAAAAAAGTATTTTAATTTCTTCCTTTCTTCATACAATTTTTTTCCTTGATCTATTTCTTAAATTGTTTTGCCTGTTAAGATTATTTAGCCTACTAATCAGAACTTAACGCTTCTAATTAATAAATAATCTTAATATAGTGTCTATGCCAGGGGTCGGCAACCTGCGGCTCTTTGGATGTGAAAGTTCGGCTCTTTAGTTCCATACGCAAATATTATTTATTTTATCAAAAAAAAGAAAAAAAAACATTTAAAAATCGTTCTGAATCGATTAACGAGGATTCGGCACCGATTCTATCTCTCAGCCATTTGTACTCGCTTTTCATTGCACCCCTCCTCCGTGACACGCGTCGTCACTGTCGTCAGTCCATTGGAAGCTCTCGAATGACGCTGTCGTCGGATGTTTCTATGAGGTTTAATTCGCTTTCGATGCAAGACAATTCTGAATAAATAGATTAATTAATTTTTTTATCAAAAAATTTTATTTATGCGAGTACTATTTATTGTTGGCAAGAAAAAATTTTGTGGCTCTTTAAAAACTTTGAAATTTTGTAAATTGTAATTTTTGGCTCTTCCGACTCAAAAGGTTGCCGACCCCTGGTCTATGCTCTTAATAATTTATGCATAAATTTATTATCATTTTAATTCTGTTTTTCGATGAATTAGATACTTCTTTTTATTTTTGGAAACATTTGCTGTATAATTTTATCAATTATGAATTAAAATTTTTTATTAGTGTTGACTTGACACAAAAAGAAATGGCATCTACTCGTGTTCGAAAAATTCGTTTCCTTTTTAAACAACTCTTTCGGCTCTTTCTAACGCTTCGATTGCGATCAGAATAGCGTATCTGTCAGCCATTTTCACTTTCGTGTAGCGATCTCAATGCTCGACTCAACGCGAGTAGGAACTCACATGGTGAGATGGTAAAGCACGTGAGTTATAACTCGAGACTACCGATTTGACGTCAGTGTGAGATGGTACCACGTGACACCTTCAACACGTTGGGAATTGTAACACGAAAAACTCGAGACTAAGGGTTATGGACCTTTTGTCTCGAGTTTTTCTCACGTTACAATTCCCAACGTATTCCATTATATTTCTATTTATTACTTACTTTAATTGTGGTATAAGTGTAAAAAATATAAGAATCAAAGGACAAGAAACTTTATGTATTCAGTAAAAACAGTGATCAAATTTTTTAAATAAGTACTTTTATTTGCATTCCACAATTTAATTATTAAATACTGTACAATTAAACAATTGGAACGATTTACAATTTTGTAAATGAACATTAAACTTTCAATATTAAGCAACATATATAGATAATAAAATTAAATAGCTATAATTAAAAAGAAAAAAAACAAGAATATTATCATAATTTTGTATTGATAAAATAAATATTCGGCTCTATTACATACACTGTTGTCGTTTCTACTGTTGATTTTTGTGTCGTTGTTTCATCTAAAAAATTACAACATACATAATTTAATGAACTTTACATAATAGAAAAGTTCTGTTAAAGTTATATATATTTCATATATTTCTTCCATATTTCTGTATATATCTGTATTGTGATGTTATAAAGAATATTTAGACTTATTATTTATTTATTTATTTTGCATATAGTAACTATAAGCTGTCAATAATAACTGCAGTTAATATTCATCTTATCTTAGAATATTTACAGTTCTTCAATTTAAATTTTAAATTTACATTTATATTTACAAATTATTTATTTGTATATATATACAAAGATATATACAAGTGTGTATATATATTTGTTTATACTAGTGTGAACGTAAAGTCTCCATACATTTATGTTAAATAATTGATAAATCTTTTTTTCTTGTAGGTGATCAGACAGAATGCTCACCATAGAAGAACGAACGACCGTTGTTGTTGCCCGTTTGCGTGGGATGTCCTATGAACAGGTGCGGGAGGATTTCACCCGTAAATTTAGAAAGGCAGCACCTACAAGGTTGGCAATAAAGAATTTGGTTAACAAATTTAAACGTACGGGTAGTGTTCATGGTGAAGAACGTTCTGGGAGGCCGCCCATAACGCCAGAAACGGTGGGACGCATAGAGGATGCGATCACACTTAGCCCCTCTGTGTCTACTAGGAGACTGAGTAAGGAGCTGGGTATCCCACACTCCGCAATCATGAAAACCTTGCGATACAATTTGAAGAAACGTGCTTACCACGTACAGATTATTCATAAACTGAAACCAGAGGATTATGCCGCCCGACAGGCTATGTGTCATGTTACCTGTTACATGCTGTGGAAAATGAGAATATCATGTCACATATGTTGTTCAGTGATGAAGCAACATTCCACACCTGTTGACATGTGAATAGACACAACTGCAGAATCTGGGCAAACGAAAAACCAAATGCAGTGCGAGAGTGGCAACGAGATACCCCAAAAGTGAATGTGTGGTTAGGGATCACGAAGACCAGGGTCTATAGACCGTTTATGTTTTCAGAGACAACAGTTACCGGACACACATACTTCGACATGTTAAAACAATTTTTTGAGCCACGGTTGGTACAAGATGGGATTAAGGAATCGGTTGTTTTTCAGCAGGATGTCCGTGATTACCTGAATAAAACATTCCCGGTAGATGGATTGGTCGTGGTTCACAAAGGCTGTGAGCCCTCGCTCACCAGACCTGACTCCCTTAGATTTCTTTGCGTGGGGGTTTATCAAGTCGCAGATGTACCAGGTGAAAATTAACAGCATACCGCAGTTGAAACAACGAATTACTGACGCAGTGGTGAAAATTTCATCAGCTATGTTGAACAGTCTGTTTCGGTCTGTGGAAGAACGCCGGCGGTTGTACCTAGACTTGGAGGGCAATCACATAGAGATGTACTAATTTGTGGTCCTAATGTGATATATGTTGCAGTGTATATGATAGATGTTTAATAAATTTGCGTTTTCACAGAAATGTATAGAGACTTTATGTTTACCCTGTATTTCAAATGCGTGAGAATATTTCTATAGTAAGTTTATACATTATATTAAAGTTAAATTTTTCAAAATGAATATCCAAAATTTTTTTAAATATTCAGAATTAAATTTATTCATAAATTTAAAATAATTAATTATAATTATATTTTAGATCCAGGAAATATATTATACAAGGTCTGTTCAAAAAGTATCGGACCTTTTTTTTTCCGCGTAAACCAATGATGCGCGAGAGGCCTCCTTCGGTGGAGTTGTGGAGGGGACAGTCATGCACAGCCCTGAATTTTTTCCCGCCTGCAGGAAGCGTCAGTCGTTGGCAATCGGCCTATGAGTGAGGTCATGTAGTGCGCTCTCGTCGGATTCCACTAAGCTGGAAAAT